TTCATGTATAACCAGGCCGCTCGACGGATGTGGGTCAGATGTAATGGCATCTGAAATATTATTCAAATTAGTAAAAACCAATATCAGAGGCATTTAAACCTTGCTGATGAGTTATACCTGGACTCCCTTTGGGGAGTTCAATGGTTGAGGGTGATGGTATTGTTGCTTCACGAATAAACATGATGCTCGATGGTTGTGGGGCACTCCCATGGCTTGCGAAATGGATTTTTCAAATTAGTAGAAACCAATCTTGAAATCAATTTACTAAAAACCAATATTGTTCAAATTCCATATACCTGGACCCTCGCTCGGGAATATATCAACATTGGTGATATCACCAAGAGGGCGTCGGAGGTTATTTGTTGCCTCCATTTGTCGCTGTAGGTGTTGCTTATAAAGATTCACCCTTTCCCACCGAGAACCAAACGGGGTCAAGTCATTCGAGGACATCATTGTCACAGACAACTGTCATTGGAAAAACAGATCAACAAGTACCATCTACTATATTTAACATACTTTAACCTACAATATCTCAGACCCATTAATATCAACTATTTGGAAAGCCCATGACTCAGCACTAAGGAAGCGGCAGAGATTAAACCCTTAATATTTGTGATAACTAAACATATATATGCAACAAATGTTGGATTTATTCCTTCCTGCTTTTAAATAGTTTTTAGTTTTGCTGATTTTCCTCTGGTACTGAAGTGATATATGTTGTTGAATGCACTCATCAGGTTATAAAACATGCAGAAAACCGATCGCATGCTCACCAATACTCCAGCGAGGCATCACTACCTGGGTTCCTAGTTCATTGAAGAGACAAACATCAAAGTCTGGAAGATAATTTTGAAATGATGAAGTCTTGACAGCAAGAAGCTCAAGGAGTTTTAATGGGCCACAATAAAATCTGTGAGCTCATCGGAACAGGGCAGTAACCTTTTCATCCCCTTGCATACTATTTGAGGAAAGAGTTTTTAGAAAACAGTTGAGAACTACTGTATATCTCCATATGGCATTGTAGAACTAAAAAGGTTATTTACTAAAAAGTGATTTACATAATTTGAGAACCACTGTAACTAAAAAGTGATTTATGCCCTGTCTGCCATCTATAAAAATTGTGACAATGGAAGCTTGCATTTGATTTATTGCTTCCTGCTTTTAAATAGTATGTAGTAACAGTTGAGAACATCCGTATAAAAATTATAGAACAAAACTAGTGATTTACTAAAAAGCGATTTACACCCTCTCTCTGCCACCTATAAAAATTGTGACAATGGAAGCGAGACCTGGAAGATTGGTTTGCCATCGGAGCAGGAGGTTATTTGTTGCCTCCATTTGCCTCTATAAAAACTGTGACTATGGAAGCTGGCATTTGATTTATTGCTTACTGCTTTCAAAGAGTTCTTAGTAACAGTTGAGAACTTCTGTATATCTCCATATGGCATTGTAGAACAAAACCGGTGTTTTACTAAAAAGTGATTTACACCCTCTCTCTGCCACCTATAAAAATTGTGACAATGGAAGCTTGCATTTCTCCATATCAAGAACGGGAGTATAGATTCTAATCGCAGAGATTTACCTCTTTTACAGTGATTCTAATACCATTTTATTCCTTAAATCTAACAGCTCGATGCCTCGCTCGTACGTAAGAAGGCCATGTGCGCATTGCTGGAGCTATAATGAACAGTTGGGGGTACTACTTACATAAGAACAGTTGCGGCACTCACGAACAAAGGTAAAGTTGCAAATTGTGAAGCGTGCACAGCTTACTGCCCTGTGGTTTAAACTCGGTCGAACATCAGTAGGTGCTAACCTGTTGCTCGCAGCCGCGGCGGCACCGGTGCCTCCTGCTCCGATGGAAAACTTTGAAAGAAACATGCCTCGCCCAGCCGCTCGAATGGCAAACTGGTAGGATCCCAAACCGAGACCTGGAAGCATGGAGAAACAGGCCTTGCCCGTCCCGCTCAGAAACGTTTTGAAAATTGGTTTGTTGTTGTATATGGAAGGCGTGATGGACAGACTATGATTGGTCGCTTTATTTTTGGGCATTGGAGGTGTAAGATGGAAAGAACGAAAAGATTGATTGGCGTTGTATATCTGTTTTCGATTGCGGTGCGATTTGATTCCTGTTGGGTATGGACAGTATTATTTGGAAAGGATAATATTGTTTGGAAAGGATGCCATCGGGTAATATTTGATTCCTGATGTGTATGAAAAGTATTACTTGGAAAGGTTAATATTGTTTGGAAAGAATGCCATCGGTTAATATTGTTCGGCCATTGTGGGGTTTATTTGGGGATTGTCTCGGTTAATAAAAAAAACGGTGGAAGTGGGATGGGGTCGAGGGGTGGCCTCTCGTTCGATGGGAGGGGGAGGGTACGAGCGAACGAAACTACGTATGGACTGAGACATTAGGAGTAGAGAAAATGGGTTTAGCTCGGTTGTAAAACCAAGCAAGCCAGTAAGGCTATCCCAGTGACTCGGCAAGCTGGTGTCTTCTTCTGTATATCTTCTTGGTGGCCGGTCTCCTTTCTACTGATCCAACGGTGTCTGATCCTGCTCTGTTTTTCAAAAGATGAAAAATATGTTCAGGTTGGCTTTTGCCCGGTGTAGTTGACTAAAAAAAGAAAAAAAACAGTCAGTCAGCTCGACAAAATTTGAAGTTGATTTTTGTTCACAGTATAATGGACCTTCTTCTTTCGCTTGTCAATGTGCAAATTAAATGTAATTTTTGTAATTTTATTGTATGACATACGATTTCTATGCGAAAAGGTTCATACTAAAATAAAGATTCACCGGAAGCACAAAGTAGCATGAACATAATAAAAAAAAGTACATCAAGGTCCATGGATCAACGAATGACCTTTGCCGCCGCCAGAACGAGCCGCGGATGCCACTGTCACCGCTCCCATACTGAAGTAGACCTGATCTTATCGATGACAACCATGAAGTCTTCGTGCACGTACCCCTAAGGACCAATGTAGGGATGGCAAATGGGTACCCAATACCCATGTATCCTGCGGGTAAAAATACTATTAGGGTAAGGGCATGAGACAAAACGTTGCCCATGGGTAAAGAAAATAGGCAAATCTCAAACCCATCGGGGAGAGCGGGTAGGGTATGAGATCACATAACCCTCACCCGCATACCCATGTATCCTTATAAAATCTAACGAATATTGACAAATTACCTGTACACTTTGTCGTGAGTTTTGAACTTAAATGTATGACTATGTGCTACTGCTTATGACTATGTGTTGTTGTTTTGATGTGTTGTTGTTTACAAGAAAGTGCTGATTTTCATAGGATGTTGTTTATAAGTATGTATTGATGTTATTATGTTTGTTGTTTATAAATTGTGATTATATGTTGTTGTTTATAATTATGTGATGCTCAAATTAATGTTATTCAAACGTGGGTATTTTTACTCGTTGGTACCCATTTACCTGACGGGTATGAACATAAATTGTTCCCACTAGTGGATACGGTACGGATGATGGGTAAGATCAAATGGGATGGGTAAGGGTATGGGGTGGCTCTACCCGTACCCAAACCATGCGGGTGCCATCCCTAGACCAGGGCCCTAGAGACGAAGTCGTTGGCATTGAATCCTTGAATCGACCTGAAGAACCTGACACCAAATCTTTGTGTACGCACGACAAGAAACCTAAACCTGCCGCCCCGAGGAGCTGACAGGAATCTACATCAGAGCTCTATGTAATTCGTCCTAATGGACGAACTTGAGGAGGATCGGAGCCTGGAAGACTATATCGATGAAGAAGCACCGCCGTCCGTCTGAACAGAGAAGTGAATCCGCATGTCGGAAAATGGCTACAGAGGAAACCGAAGGCCTAACTCCCCGTTCTTTCTATCTTACATCGCCACGGAACTATTCATGGCATATCACACATTTCCATTTGTTTTGTACCTTATTTCTTATTCTTAGAAGGATTTTATGCTCTTCTGAAGCACCTCGTGGGATATTTAAGCATGAAAAAAGAAGAACCAAAACCCTATCTATCAACTAGCCGGAGCCGAGGGACAAGGTCCTCTTCCCGCCATCGGCAGTCTGAGCGGCAGGCAGAGTGTAGGTGGATCCACGGGCTTGCAGGCGAAAATCGAGGGGAGAAAGGCTTTCCCTAGTCGCCTTGCGAGAGGGGAAAGAAAAGCAATTTGTTGTACCATATGGTAGATGTATACTTATTCATGGACGAAACGACAAATGCACGGCTTGAAAATTTCTACAATGTCACCGTAAGAAGAATCTACAATAGCCAGAAAAAAAAGTCAAACAGATTGATCCAAGACCTCCTTTTCAGGTTAAGAATGTTCGAAAGATGCATGATTAGAAGAAACGGGCCAAACAATCCTACAAAATCGAAATGGACCACACGAAAAACTGAAGTCCAGTTCAGAACTCATGAATATGAAAATTGGTTGAACAACGAATAAAATATCGCAGCCCAGAAAAAAAAAGTTCAGCCCAATGTGGAAAATATTACCAGAGCCAGGTTTGGACCTATGCATTATGGGCCCACTACGCTTCTGCTGCGGCACTCTGATTTTCTTATTGAAATTCCGATGCCCATTTTGCTTATCGGTGAACTGCCACGCTGCTCTGCTTATCGGTGAGCATCTCCAGTACAACTGCTCAGCTGGCAGTAGCAACTTGTACGAATTGTATGTTACAGTTGCCAGCAGCTTTGCCTGACTGTTTCAAGCCTGCAACCGTGATTAAGATGCATTGACAACAGAGATTAAGTGTTGGCATGGACGACTTTGAGCACTTGACTTGACTTGGGGCTCCGAGCATCTATTTAGCTACACTTGATCGTGATTACATTAGGTTAATCTAGATTTTCAGACAATCTGTTGACTTGACACACTTGTTGTTGCACTTAGGGCACTACTTAACTAAGAGGAGTAACCCGGCCACAAAGAGAGATCAAATCATTTCTTCAGAGCTGAAGCTAGGAAGGCAGGATCGTCCTATCGACAATGAGGCGGTCATCTTCTTCTCTGTCCTCGCTCACACGCGCCATGGCAATCACCCTGGTGTTCGCCTGCTGCTGCTCCCTGCTGCCATGCCCATGCTCTGCTGTTTGCAAAGGTACGCAACCACGCGTCCGTTCTAATTCTTATATTTTGGAAGTGGGTGCACATTTTTGGCATATAATTTGTTGCTATGGCATCAGGGCGTGCATTTGGCGACTTTGGTCAGGGGGCTGAGGCCGGGCCAAGGGGAGGAAACCAATTAGATCAGGGGGGTGGCGGACAAGCGCCAGGAGGCTATTCATTTAGTGATCTTCGTGACGGGTCTTGGCACATGCCGAGGGAACAAGGAGGAAACCAATTTGCTCAAGGGCTTGGGGAGGCAAGGCCGGGGGGAGGAGGAAAGCATGGTAAGTGGTCCGACGACGGGTCGTCAGGGGTTACACAAGGAAGCCATGTAGGACGGATGCCTCCTCCGCCGCGGGGCAAGGCACCGTGGTACCACAGGTGATTTGATGGTTATTGCCATGCATGGCCTTGATCTGGCGCCGCCGGCTGTTACTGGAAGCTGATTGCTGCTGGTCATTCTGGAGGTTGCTTGGAAATGATGCTTCTATCACTCGAGCAAGTGTTGCTTTTGAATGTAATTTGCACCGTGATCCCCAACTTTTTAAACATTTTTATCTTGCGCTAGTAGGTTTTTGCCCCATAGTGTGGTTGTTCATGAGCAAACATTCACGGTGGGTTTCTTACTAGTGATTAAACTCGCAAGCCTCTTTAATATTTTTGTTATTCCCCCATCCCTCCTTTTTTGCAGCTTGTATGATGGTTATTTTTCATAAGCAATTAATGGAAATGGAGTTAGTTCGGCTGTAAAGAAAATGAACCTATCGAATTCGATCAGGAGGCAACCCCGGTGACCGGCACACATGCTATTCATGTATGATCAATGGCGATGTATGCACATTCGGGCTGCCCACTCCATTTGTGTTTACAGGGCTCATTTAGTGATACGAGAAATGCGGGTATACATGCCAATCTCACATCTCCGTACTGACCTTGCAATTTAAACCATGTTGTAGAAGAGTTAAGGGATTTAATATGTAGTCAAACATTTCGTTTAGGACAAATTAGAGGATTTACGTGTTGGAATCCTCCTTGAAATATGTGATTTGCCACCATTAGCATTTTTATTTTTCTTATGTGTCAACGAGAAGATTATTTTTGTGAATGGTGACACACAGTCAATTGGGGGATCCTAGTGATGATGTTAATGATCTAGAATCAAGAGAGAACAACCGTTTATTTGATAATAGTGTATATGTATTTTTTATATTTTCTTTCATAAACTTGGCCAAACTTTACAGTCTAATTTTGGTTTAGAAAAGAAGCTGAGATCTACTCATACAAATCGTTGAGATATCAGGAGGACGGACCGATGTGTGCATGACGATGAAGAAACAAGATGATGAAACAAAGAGAAGGGTCGATGACAACAATGACAAGCGACAAGTCATCCACCTGAACTTATTACCGGCATCTGTCTGTCGACTAATGGCACCCACGTAGACTTGCATGGATTTTCTGATCATGGGGTGGGCTTGCTCTAGAGTCCCGACGGGGAGTAGAATTTTCACAGACAAATTTCTTTTATACCTCACGAGTATGCTAGAGTGCAGGGAGATTTCCGTCTACCGAGTGTGCCTTCACATATTACCTCTATGTGTTAAAATGAATGTTTTTTTGCAGGGTGTGTTAAAATGAATGTGATCAGGGTTGAGCATGGGTCCGGCCGAACACACGCGGACATGGCTCCGTTCCCGTGAAGGCCGCGTGTAGCTAAGGCGGAGTCCGTACGAGGGAGAGGCACGCCCGTTTTTGCCGGAAGGACCTCACGGGCAGCTCGTGTTCGCCGGATGTCGATCTTCGAGCCGATCGGACTGGTCACGTCCCTTACGAGCTGAAATTTTGTTTCCCGCCCAAAGTCTCGTCTCCTGCTGGAAGCATCCTCTCGCGCGCGTTCATCCTATTTGGCTTCCTCACTTTTGTAGACGCCTTGGCAATGGTGAACAATAACACACCGTATTTTTGGCATGACGGAAAATTTTCCCGCCCAAAATCGCGAAAAAGTGACCACGACCACGAGTCTCTCAAAGCGCCCCGGAGGTGTAAAAACGGGTATGGGAGCGTAGCCCGGAGTTTGGTGGCCCCCAACTCCGGGAAGTTATACTAAATCCGCGGCGCTTTTTTGGGACGGAGGGAGTATAGTTTTTTAAAGAAACCACCTTCCTCCTCTTCCGAACCATCTTGTCCACCTCTCGCTTCACTAATGCTCTTCTTAACATCTTCAGCTAAATTTTCTCCTTCATAGCTTTGTTTCACTTCTTCTATCCAATCCGGCAATAACTTGCTCACAAGGTTGCAACCACTGAATTTGTAACGACACAATGATTTGAAAAACAATCAAAAGATATGCAAAGAACACAGACGGTAAAGGTAGAAGATCATTTCCGGGTAGATAGGAGAGCTATTAAAGTCCACAAACATGAATCAGAGTTCCGATCGGCTTTTGCAGATTTAACAAAAAAGAAGACTTTTCTACAAATAGAGAATTTCTCATTTTTGGGTTTATACAGAGCTAAAACATAGAATTTTCATTGAAGAAGGAAGTAAGGATGCTCGCTGGAGAATCAAGAAATAAATAGTTCCCATTCGGATTATTTTTTTAGTTCCTAAGATTGAATTTCTTTGCTTTTGGCAATAGCGGAAATGTTCAACTTTGGCAACCAAAGTATTGAAGTCATCAAACAATCAAAAGCATTGACATAGTTGTGCAACTCAAACCACAATAGTGTTCCGGTAAAACTCTTTTTTCTTTTTGAGAAAACGGTGACACTCATAGTAGTAGTCTACAACACAATACTAGTAGTTGGGCCGCACATGGGCCATCTTGCTCACTGCGTGTTTGTTGGGCTATAAAACAACCTTATGCCCATATTTAAACAGAGAGTTCCATCCATATATATTGCATCCAATGGCCTGGAATCTATAGGTGCATCCGGTGCACCAGTTCAACTGTTGCACATGATACATTCTCCGGAGGAGTAGGGTGCACGCATGACACATGGTACAAATTACTCTACCACATACAGTTTGGTGGCCATGCATGCATGCATGCCACGGTCGCTTACAATGGACATGTTACCGTTTACCAGCAGGCCTGCTTGACCGGTTCAAGCCATGCGCTGGGATGCAGGGGACGACGACTTGGAGCACTTGACTTGGCCAGATTTCTTCAATAGTAAATGGCAGTGTAGGTAAAACGAAGAGCGTGGTTAGATACTTAGATTAATGCCAATGCAATCGATCGGGTCAGAGGAGCCTTTGCCAATGCATGCGACTAGCATCGAGACGCTGGGCTGCCAATTTGGCTAAGGATCGGAGCCAGAATGAATATAGGATACGTGTCCGTACCGACAATATTGATTAAATGCCACTGTGATTTGGGGATAGACAAGGTCAATAAGGAGATACACAAGGTCCATAAGGAGCTAGTTTGACATCGACAATGAAGCGATCTTCTTCGTCCTGGCTCGCACGCGCCATGGTCCTCCTGGCTATTATCGTATGGTGCTTCCTGCTGCCATGCTCTGCCTCCAGGGCCAAAGGTAACCACCAGCGCACCCTGTTGTTTTTGTCTTCGTAGTTGATCTTCATGGTGTGTGATTTGCGTCTTGATCTCATGGTGGTGTGCATGCAGGCGCAGGCTTTAATTTTCCAACCGGGGTGCGTGGAGAAGGAATACGGCCGAAATCACCCAAGCCCGGGGCGCCGAGGGCACAGAACTGCCCGGGCTGTGGCCACGACTACGCTCGGCCGCCGCCGGCACTCACGGCCCCCAGGCCGTCGAAGCAACAGAACTGCCCGGGGTGCGGCAATGCCTACACTCCGCCACCATCGTCGTCCGGTACGGCAGTTTCAGCGCCCCGGCCGCCGAACCAACAGAACTGCCCGGGGTGTGGCTATGAAGACGCTCTGGCGCCACCCGTGGGTGCAACACGAGCGGCCCCCGGGCCACATCACTGCCCGCGGTGTGACCATGCCTACGCTGTAGCACTTGCGGCGCCACAGCGTAAGAACCTTCCCGGCACGAGGTACTGAACAACGTCCCATGCAACCTGCACCCGTGGCCACACGAAGAACATGAGCTAAAACAGCGGCCAGGAGAGGAGAGATTGCCCCGATCCAACCAACCTTGTGCTATTCTTAGTGGCCTTGTATCTTTGGACTCATCACGAACTAGTTTTCTTTCATTTCATTTTTTTCCTCCTAGCTATAGACATTGTCATATTTCACCAAAGTAATTTATTTATTTTGATAAAAGAAGGGCTCTCTCCTTCCGATTTTATTATAGAAAACCACATTCGAAAACAAACTACGAGACCATAATCGACCC